AGTGGGATACTCCTCATCAGCAAGCCATGGAGCAGCTACAGACAGCACTGACTGAGAAGAAACGAGGAATGGAATGACTAAGGGAAAGTTGGGTACAAGTACAAACCCTAGAAAGCTGTACCCCATATGTGTTACCCCACTATAGCCTACAGCAGCTAAGTCATATAAATCTGACACACCCCCATAGGCAAAGTGGGGGAGAACAAGGGGTCACAAGACCAGTCAAGCAAAGCAAAGCAAGCTCAGGGTGGATCACAAAGTCACCACACATTCCGAGCACAAGTTCAAGGCCACAAGGCCAGTTCACATGCAAGATTACATATATATATAAGGCTAGACAAGCAAGAGCAGGTGTAAATATATAGGTAACAGTACAAACAAGGTCAAGGGGTGAGCAAGTGAAGCAAGGTAGGCACAAGACCCAGCTGAGTACAGAAGCGCTGATGATCACAAGGCGCAAGTGCCTTGGTGAAGATATCAGCAGTGTTGGCCTGAGAGGCCACGTACGCAAGGCGCAGCTGACCACGCTGCTGTAGCTCACGAGCAAGGAAGTAGCGAAGAGCAATGTGCTTCGTTCTGTGCTCCAGTCTCTGCTCCCGACACAAGGCCAGCATGGCCTTGTTATCTACGTACAGCACTGGAGGAGAATGAGGCGGCTCTCCGAGGCCAGTCAGCAGGTAGGTGAGCCAGCGAAGCTTCTGTGCAGCCATGGCCCCTGCGTAGATCTCAGCCTCACAACTGGAGCCGAGAACAGAAGACGAGCGGGTAGCCCGCCACGAAACAGAGCCGGAACCAAGGCTGAAGGTGTAACCCTGTGACGACCGCTGCGTAGCCTAGTCGTCAGCCCAAGAAGCGTCTGCGTGCCCAGTGAGGACCACTGGACTCTGCCCTCCAAGCACAAGCCCCATGCGCGACGTACTGCACATGTAGCGCAACACCCTCTTTGCTGCAGCCATGTGCTCCGGTCTGTGTCTCCCAGGAGCAACATAGCGTGCGAGAATGCTAAGAGGGTATGCAAGGTCAGGTCGTGTGCAGGTCATCAGGTACATGAGGCAGCCAACAAGCCCTGGGTACGGGCCACTCGACTCTACGGACTCATCCGAAGACAGAGCTGAGAGCGAGTGGCGAGTAGGCAGAGGAGTGGCCTGAGGCGAGGAGTACGTGAAGCCGAAGCGCTGAAGGACCTGCTGCACCATGTGTGACTGAGTCAGGGTAATGGTGCGGCGTGCTCTGTCCCGGGTGATCTGCAAGCCAAGGTAGCTGCACAGTTCACCCACGTCTGTGCACGTGTGTCTCTTCTGGAGCTCGGACTTCACGTGGGCGAGTCCAGCAGTGTCAGCTGTGGCAAAGACCAAGTCGTCGACGTACACGAGGATGTAGAACGGCGGCAAAGAAGTGTCGGTGCGCAGAAACAGCGACGGGTCGGCAGTAGAGGGAGCAAACCCAAGAGCCGCAAGTGTAGTCCTCAGTGTGTCGTGCCACTCACGCGGTGCCTGGCGAAGACCGTAGAGTGGCTGCCGGAGGCTCCACTGGGTGCCAGGAGGAAAAGTCTCAGTGAAGCCAAGTGGGCGGCGCAGCCAGATCTCCTCGTGCAGGCTGCCCTGCAAGAAAGCAGTGCTGAAGTCAAGAGAGTGCAGCTCGTAGTCACGCTTAGCGGCTATGTGCAGCAGTACCCGAAGAGTGGTCATCTTCGGGGTGGGAGAGAAGGTCTGAAAGTAGTCAACTCCCTGCCGCTGACTGAAGCCACGAGCCACGTAACGCGCCTTGAAGACAGGCGGAGAACCCGGCGGCCGCTTCACCCTGAAAATCCACATGCCACTGACGATGTTCGCCCCAGGCGGGGGAACCTCGTCAACGTAGGTGCCTGTGGACTTCCAGGAAGCCATCTCTACGTCCATAGCTGCCTGCCACTGAGAGGAGTAGGGACCCTCTATCGCCTCCGCGTAAGAGCGCGGAGTCGGGATGTAAAGTGCATCCGGGTCTCCCTCAGGGGTAAGCAGTACGGACACGAGATGAGGTGAAGCAGCAGCCAAACACTGGAACTCCTCCTGCCTGTCCTCAAGGACGTCCGTGCCAAGGGCACACTCACCCCCGACGGACGGAGGACAGACAGATGCAGACTCAGCAACAAGACTAGCAGCGTAGTCTAGACGACAGCGAGCAGCAAAGTCGACGAGCTCAGCAACTAGGGCAGACGCAGCAGTGGACTCAAAGGAAGGGTCAGTGACAACAATAGCAAGGAGACGCGTGACAGTAGGACTGGCAGCACGAAGAGAGTCCGACTCCGGGTCGGCAAGAGCAGGAAGAGAGGACTCAGGAGGAGAAGGCAAAGGGGCACGCAGAGGAGCAGTGGACGGACGCAGAGACATCTGGTGCGTGCTAGGGACAGGAGGAGGACGCTGACGCGAACCACGACCACTAGCGCGAGCAGCACGGACAGGCGGCGCAGGGCGAGACGCAGGCTCACGACGCTCAGCAAGACCTCCAGTAGGACCAGTGTAGGGAGAAGGAGCAGGCAGTGGGGAGGCCGGCTGTAACTCTAACTGCGACGGGACAGGCTGTGGACACTCTAAGGGAGGAGGAGGACCAATAGAAGGCGGGAGACCAAGGACCTGCTCAAGGAGCGGAACGAAGTACGGCCGAGGCCGCGCAGCGACTCCAGACACAGCAGGAACAGCACCAGTACCCCCAGTGGCAGCACCAGCGCCAGCAGCACCTCCATGTGAGAGTACGACGGCTTATGCCAGCTATGCTTGCTTGCCTCTACTTTATCATGCTATTTCTAGCATAGGATAATCATATGCATGCATGAATTGCTTGATTTCCTAGGCTAGGTGCTTTCCTATATTTTATTATAGTTATAGCACCGAGCTAGGTTGCGTGCACCGAATTCTGGCTTTTCGGTTGCCACCGAATTGCCTTCTACCGAATTCGGTAAGGATCTGTTCGGGACGCTTCGCGACCCGCGGAACCTTCGCGTAACACCTGGTTACGGGGCCTTGTGTCGAGCCTATATATAGCCTCGTGTTGTACCCAGGTGATCATTCAATTCAATTTGAATCATCTTTTCTGAGCTCGATCCCAGATCCTCACACTCCACCTCCAGTACCCCCAGCAGCTCCAGTAGCTCCAGGACCTCCAGCAGCACCAGTAGCACCCCCAGCAGGACCGCCTCCAGTACCGCCAGCAGTACCCTCAGCGCCAACACCCTCAGCAGCTCCAGCTCCAGTCGGACCACGAGAAGACGCAGTGGCTCCAGCTCCAATAGCTCCAGTACTCCCAGTTCTACCACAGTACAGCGCCAGTACTCATCCTACCAGATCCAGACATGGACTACGTGGTGGAAGCAGACGCTAGTGACCAAGCAGTCGGAGCAGTACTGATGCAGGATCACGGACGCGGTTTGCAGCCTATCGCCTACCTCAGTAAGAAACTACACGGAGCAGAACTAAACTACCCCATTCACGACAAGGAAGCCTTAGCGATAGTCATAGCCTTCAAGGCGTGGAGGTGTTACCTAGAGGGAGCCAAGACTACAGTCTATACTGACCACTGCAGTCTCAAATACCAGGGTTTAGGGTTTAGGGTTTAGGGTTTAGGGTTTAGGGTTTAAGGAGTGCAACGAAGGGGTCTTGTTGTCGGGATAATATACCTCAGCGGACCCTGAACCACAGCTCGACACGTCGTGCGCCGAGCCGCGATTACGGCCACGTGGCCTAGTAAGGACGGCCGAGATCGAGCCTGACAATCGGGAGGTGCCACGACGACGCCGACGTGGCCCCGCTTCGCAGCACCTGTATCTTTCGCTGCGCGCGAAACTTGGCCCGCCGATGAAAAATGTCACCATCGTCCACGCGGCGAAAGCCGACTGGCTAAGGCATGTACATGTGTCCACCATCTAGATAGCCAGAGAACGCGAGGTAATGAGATGTCGGTGTCGCCCGAAGATCCAACCGAAGCAGCACGACCCACACGGATGGTTCTGTGCGGACCAAACCCTGCATAGGAGAAGAGAGCCCCAGACTCAGGGAATGTCGGCGTCGACCAGGCCTCCGGCCACGCGCCTACTCGCAGGTCGATGAGGTTTGCGCGAGAGAGCAGGACGCTACGGCATTTCGGGAGAGTGGAACTAGGTGATTGGCCTATTGCACCTATTGCAAGTGGCGCACGTGAATTCCACCGTGGCAAGGCACCGGCGGGAGTGCCGCTGAGCGCAAAGCGGCGTGACACAAAACATGCATCGATCGTGACACGTCATGCACGTGCACTGCTGCGCTTGCAAAGAGGGCTGCGTGGAGCGCGGCAGGTGCGCAGTGGCCCGCATCCATACCCCTCTTTGACCACACACAACGCTCTCATTCTGCCTGTTCCGCTTCGTGTTTCTCTCGTGCTCCTGTGCGCCATCTGGCACTTCGCTTTCTTCACAGGACCCTCGCTGTCTCTGCGGGTCTATGTTACTAGACGGCCGAGTCGACCCAGCGGCGGCACTCAGGCGTCGACCTGGAATAGACTTCGGTCGGCACTAAGGCGTCGACGTGAATCACTTCCGTCTCTGGTTTACCAATCTTTCCCTCTTCCACGGCCGGCGGTAGAGCATACGAGCGGTCATGGACGACGTCGACATGCCCGACGTTGGTACCCCAACCGACCACAGTCCGTCCTCTGCCCCCGTAGAGACGCTGAAGTTGCTTTACGATCTTGACAAACTTACTCAGATTCCCGAAGGGGTGTACACCAAGGACATACCGAATCCGCCAATTGGGGAGTTTACGAAGAAGTCGACACCGACGGCAGATGGGCAGCCTGGACCTTCGTCGGTTCCGGCCGGCTCGGAAAACCAAGATGATGACGACGACGAGGACGAGGAAGAGAGCGACGACGAAGTCGACGACCGTCCTCCGCGTAGCACAAATCCGCGCACCTTGGAAGAACGCCTTAGGCGGGAATTTGAATACATACGTGACATGCTCGAAGAGGACGAGAAGGAGGACAATCAGCACATGGCGGTGCCGCGCGAAGGGTGGAAGGCGACGGACTTTGTAGTGGACGACATGGTGTACTCCAGCATTGACGTGCTCATAATGGACGCCCTACGACACCTACAATGCTTGGAGAAGAATAGCACGCTCAGGCTGTACACCGCGTTCATCTACCACTACAAGAAGTGGGCGGCGAAGATGCTGAAGCAGATACGCGACAAGCTCCCCCATGAGCAACGACTTAGGCACGTCGACGAGATCGGCCACTACATCCACGACAACAAGAAAAAGGATTGGTGCAACGAGAAAGTGGTCCGCCGAGAGTACATCTGGCTGCACGGCCCTAAGGTCACCGAAGCCCGGCTGCGCGCCTACGTGAAGCAAATGAGCCGTGAGTGTAACCTCATTGCTGACCAGCCCGGGGAGGAGAACAATGCCACGCGAACGGGGCCTGTGAGGTCGACAACTATGCACACGATCCTCGGCCGCATAAAGGCATGCCAGATGGCGGCGAGGGTGGAGGCGACGCTGTACCGAGAGAAGGAGCTGGGCATCATGAGGGAGATCTCGGTGGTGAGATCGGAGGTGCGGTTCAACGTCCGCCACAAGAACGAGAGGGACATCAAGTAAGTTGGTCGACAACCTTATTATATATCACTGTCCACTGTGAAGTCGACGCAGTCTAACAGATTTTCCCCGCCGATTTGCGTTCAGGAACTGCGCCGACCGTCGACGCGGCACCATCGGCGATACCTACACCGCCGAGCAGTTCCGCCAGATCATGATGAGGGTGCTGCCGACATGGGCGGCGTCGGCGTGGAACCCGCGGGCTACCACTCCGTCGCAGACGCTGTGGCGATTCCTGCTCATCAAAGTGCTCACGCTACTCTCCCACCACACTCTCCTGCGCGGCGCCAGCATCCGCGAGATCACGCTCCCCGACGTCTTCTTGTACCACCTGGCGAGCACCTCGGATGTGAACCCGGATAGCCAGCCGGTCGTCATGGTGATCGCTGCGCGTAACTCGAAGACTTCCAAGGATGCCCGTCTTCAGCAGAGCTACGCTGCGCGACACCTGGAAGCGGAGCTGTGCGCCGTCGGCGAGACCGGCCTGTGGCTGCACTTCATCCTCGACCAGATCGGTCAGTTCTCCGGCACCGACTTCCTTTCGCCGCTTGACACCACAGAACGCGAACGCTGGTACAAGAAGCATCTCTTCTTCGCCAGAAACGACAAGGAGCAGGAGGAGCTCTCCTCCGCCACCCACCAACGTTGGACTCGGCAGATGTGGAGGACCAACAAGGTGTTCGGCAAAAGGAACGTGCACGCCGCCCGCGCCGGTGGTGCGCAGGAGCTAGCCATCGGAGGGACGCCGCGCGCCCAGATCGCCGAGCTGGGACACTGGGCTCTCGACAAGATGACGCGTGCGTACATCACGGCCATTCCCGTTGGGGTGGTGATGCAGAAGGCCGGCTACTCGGGACTCAAGCAAGACTACTTCTTGGGGCGCAGCAGGGTCGAGCCCTCCGACAAACTCCTGGACCTGCTCGCCGAGCACATCTTCCCCGGCGTGGATGCTATGCTGCGCGATGTATGTCACGCGACGCCGACAATGTTTTTCAGTCGTCGTCGCCTAGTTGGCTGCCCAACTCCCTACTAACCCACGCCACTTTCCGACTTGCAGGCGGAGACGCGTGCCGTCAACGGGAGCGACGCCGATGCAGCCGCAATGCACTTCTTGCGCACCCTCGTGATGTTCCGACGAATCGTCGCCGAGGACCTCGCGGTGAAGCTCGTCCGCACACCGTGGCACCCGTACGTCCAAGGTTCCAAGCTCTGCAGGATTGCCCTCTTCCAGCACTGGGCGAAAAGGGTCGAGTCGGTCGACACCGATACGATCAAAAAGCGCCGGGACCCAACTCAGATTCAGCCGGAGGTGAGTCGCCGACCATGTCGGCGTCGTTGAATTTTAGCCGATGACTTCTAACCTCTTGTCGCCTTTCCGCACACTCAACATTGCAAGAAATATCCGTGCGCATGGACACCTAGTATCACAACATGTCCCTCAAGGAGGCGCTGAAGAAGGAGGTCGAGCGCTCGGCGCTCGAGAAGCTAGGCTACCAGGAGACGATCGAGAAGCAAAACGACACCATCGCGTCGTTCACCGCCGAGCTTGCTCGACTCACCGAGGCACTCCGTGTGTCAGAAGCCCGGAGGATGCCGGCGGCGCCGCCGTCGGCGACCGATCAAACTCCGGGCGAGGGTGGCTCCGCGGATTCGGCCAACACGGGGACCGGAGCCAAGAGAGATGATGGGAAACCCCCGCCACCCCCCCAGACGGCAGAGGAGGCCAGTTACGAGCTCAACGTGGTGCAACCATGGCGGGATTCAAAGACCGTGCGGGACGCTTGGCGCCTCTGGAACTCCGCCACCGCCAATGACACCCGTCGTCTTTGCGACAGGGTCGCCGAGCCGGGGTTCATCGACCGCCACACCCTCCTCAAAGGCGCGACCCAGGGTGCACTCAACATGAGGGTGCGCCGCATGCTGAAGGCCATGGATGCGGTGCGCCAGCTACGCGTGAGCGACGGCGATGCCGACACCGAAGCCGTGGTCGATGCACTGAACACGATCGCGGCACCGGGCATTGGGACCTTCTGCGATGCCCTCACGGTGCTCAACCCGGAGACGGCACCGACGATGTCCAAGGAGCCTGGCATGGGCGTCAAGGGGCTTGGCCCCAAGGTGGTCTCGAAGCTACGCCTCGCCTGTGCGCTGGTGGCGCTGGAGCTGAAGCCGACGACGTGGGTCGACCGCCTGTTTCCAGACACCTGGGAGGATCAGATGCCGAAGACCGAGGCCGACTTGGCCAAGCAGACCGCACCTGCGCAGCGTCCTCCGTCAAAGCGCAAGAAGTCGGCATGAACATCCTCGGTGCATATGTGTTAGCGTAGGTTGATGCCCTAATTTAGCAACATATGTGTTCCCATTGTACTTGTTGATGGTGATGCAACACGAACATACATGATCCAACACATACATCCGAACCAGATATGTCGGACTCCGACATAGTCGCCACCATGTGTTTGCAATTCATTGTGCCTTATTCATGTCGACGTCTCGCACGATTGCATGTCGATAGGGCGTCGACATATTCGCCGACATATCTCGTCGCGGAATAGCATGTGTCTACCGCGTCTATCATCGCTGCTCGCCGAGTAGGATGTTCCTTTTGATGTCGACACATGCGCCGACAAGGCGCATCGTTCAAAGTCGGCTAGCAAGTTTCAATGTGGACAGTGATTTACTAAAAAACGGAAAAAGATTCGTGCCCTACGATACAAAAGTCATTAGAATAACTTGGCCATCGGCGCCAACCATACAATAGTGCCCTGCACACCGCAGCCCGCCAACTACGCATCCGTACTGCCCATGCCCTGCTTGCTCTTCTTCCTCTTGCTGCTGCCCTTGCTCTGCTTGACCTTCTCCCCCTTCCTCCCCCTGTGATCCATATCGTACTCCATCCTCGCGTCACACGGCACATCGATGCCCTGCGCTTTGAGCTTGGGCCCGGCGACAGGGCACATTCCCCAGAACGCCAAGGTCTCGACCGTCGCTCTTGCGATCATGTCGGCCTCGACTTCCTCAACTCCCTTCGCGAAGGCCCTGGCAACTGCCTGGCTCTGCAGCGATGGCGCGACGTTATGTGCAACCTCCCCAGCGGGAGCCTGCATGCTGCGTGCTATGTCGATCACCGCGTGCATCACCTCCTTGAAGTCCTTGGCCCTCGCCTCCCCCGCACCTGCCACCATCGCCGCCGCCTTCCCTTCGCCCACAGCACCGAGCACCGACGCCCCCGTCTCCAAGAAGCACCAGATGGCGCATGCCGATGCCGCTAACGCCTGGGCCCCCATCTCCATCTTCTCGTCCGCCTTCCCCTCCACGCTCGCATCGACCTTCCCAAACGCCGCGCTCGCCGCGACCTTCCCATACGCCGCGCACATCGACACGCGATTTACCATCGCCGACATGAGAGCGTTCGTCTCTTCCTTGCCTTCCTCCGTGTCCTCTTTGATGGGGAACCAGATCGCCGGCCAGAGCACGTCATGAAGCGCAACACCCGAACTCGCGTACCCACGGTACCTGCCGAGTATATCGTCGAACCTGCCGCGCAAACACATTAAAACGACAGGACTTCAGCGTTTTGACACCAACTTGGTCGACAGAACTCGGCACGTCAGTATCCGTCTTACCTTGCTCTCGGATGGCACAAGCCTCTGGCCCACATCACCGTCCACATCCCAGTGGGCAACAACTTCACCTCCGCCCACACCTCCTTCCATTTATCCAACTCCCCCGGGTTCAAGACGGTGAGCTCCTTCATGAGCACCTTGCTCACGTAGCCGTCGAAGACGACGAACGCAATCGCGTGCTCGTAGGCCAGCTCCATCTTCTCCCTCGACTTGCCGATGTACCGATTCTGTCCGTGTACCTTAATTTCGCCCACCCACCCTTGCCCGTCGCCAGCCTTGTCTCGGCGGATGCCATGACCCCTGCGTCCATGCTCTTTATCTCCCTCGCCGCCCTCCTTGTCCTCCTCCTCCGCCTTCTCCTTCTTCTTCGCTGGCTTACCCTTGCCGCCCGTCTTGTCCTTCTCCTCTTCCGCCTTCTTTCCTTTCTCTTCCGACGTCAACTTCCCCGCAGTCATCGCCCGCGTGCTCCTCTGAGAGACCGCCTTCCCTTTCCCGTTGTCGTCCTTTTCCTTCCGTCCAGCATTTATCTCGGTGACAGCAGCCGTTGCGGCCGTCTGCTCCGTCGAACCCCCTCCGTGGGTCGCCGACGGCACCACATGCGCCGTGTCCATGATGGCCATAACAGGGGCGTGCTCGGGTCGCTTTGCTGCCTCAAAATGGGCCATGACGACAGCGAGGTCGGCATGCTTGTCTGCGCGGCCGCCGGTGGCGAGCGCTGCACTCACTCCCTTCTCCGCCGCCACATCGACCACAGATGCACCTGGTGTGGGTGCGGTCGCGTTTACCGACATCGGCGTCGCGCTTTTGCCGAGTTCCGGCAGGGTCACTGACGGAGCAGTTGCTTTGTGTGCGTCTAAATGGGCGCGAAGAAAATTGGACTTGGGGTCCGCAGGCGGTGGGGCGGCCACCGGAGGCGCGGCAGGTGGGGCACCGGACGACTTGCCGGCAACCTGCGTAGTGACGGAGCGGCGTGTTGTTCCAGGAAGGCCGGCGTCGACCACAGGATGCTGCTGCACGTCCCTGCTATGTGCCTCCATGCGGCAGAGCATCTCTCTGAGCGCGGTACCACCGGGGGGGGCCTTAGCTGATGCCATGGCATCACCCTTAGCCGAAGCAACCTTCGCGACAACCTTGGCGGCAGTCGGGGCTGCTGGAGCTGGAGCAGCCTCGCCATCTTTGTTCGCACCTGACTGGCCGGCAGGCGCGCTGGTAGCCGCAAGGGGGTTACGGGGACTCGACTTGGTGGTGCCGGCAACCGTAGCAAAAGCAGGCTTGGCCGCCGCCGCGACGGGTGGTCCCTTGGTGGTTCCGGAGTCACCATCATTCGCCGCCTGAGCAGTTGGCACCTCCTTGTCGGTAACGCCTTTCCCACCGCTCGCCTGAGGATGGGTCTGCTCGGCGACCAAAGGCGGGCCAGTCGGAGCAGCTAGGTTAGCGGCAACCCCGTCGGCAGGGCCACCCTCTGCTCCCTCGCTTCCGCCTCCCTTGCTGTGCGACGTCCTTACCACCTTCCACCCCGCCTTCGTCTTCAGCTGGTCGACCACGCTTTTTTGCGCAGGCTTCGACCCGAAACTACCGTCCGCTCCCTTGCTCCGCTTCGAGCTCCCCTTGTCGTCTCCGTCGCCGGTCCTCTTATGGCCCTGCTTCTCGGCCGTTTTTCTTTGCGCGTTATCGGCGTCATTGGCCAAAGGCGACGACCCACGTCGACCAGGCGCCACAGTGCCGATCATCTCTGTCATGATCTTCATCCCGGAAGCAACAAAAGACTGCTGGGTGGCCTCCGTCACCGCCTTCAGGATGTCGGCCTTGAACGACTTCAAAATCTCTTCTGGGATGGCGGGCGGCGTGGGATGAGGCGGTGGCGGCGGCGGCACGGCGAGCCTGGCGGTCAAAGCGGTGGCGATGTTGACCTGCGCGGAGGCAAGGTGGTTCGAGATGTACTCTTCCAACCCCTTCTTCGCATCGCCCACCACCGAATCCACGTGTTCGGCCAAGGAGGAGACCGCTAACGCTCGTGCATACGCGAGACGACCCTCCGGATTGTCGAAGTCCTCCAACCACTCCGTCGCATGTTCCGCGAAAGTCTTCATCGACTTCCACGCTTCGTCAAAGCTGCCGGAGATGTTGCCCGTGATGGTCTTCGGCATGGCCTCCGTCGCGTTTCGCAGCTGTTCCGCGGCATACTTGTCGGTGTCGTCGACCTGCTCGGCCAACCCTTTAACGTGGTCGACGAGTCGACTGACCCCAACAAAAAAACTGTCCAGCCGGGACCGCTCCGCATCGAGCAACGACGCCAGCCGAGCGTTCTCCGCCCGCAACAACCAGTTTTCCCGTCGCAGAACCTCGACGTCGTCCAGTTCTGGGCCCTGCCGACCAGGTGCTTCCCCGGCCTCCTGCTCGCCCGTGTTGTTCGGCCCTTCGTCGGCGTCGACCGACACCTTCCCACCTCCTTCGCAGGCCGCCTCATCCTGGCCATTTCCAGGTGCCTCCACGCCGACCTCGCCCTTCTCCTTCCCCACATCTGCCGACCTCGTAGCATTTCCCGCGCCGTCATCCTTCTCTTCCTCATTCCCCTGATCTGCCGACCCCACTGCCTCTTCCGCCGCTCCCGCCTCAACCGTACCCTCTACATACTCCACCACGAACTCCACCTCTTCATCCCCCCCCTCCTCATCCTTCCCTCCCTCCCACTTCTCACCATTCTCGTCCTTATTCTCCTCCTCCTCCTCCTCATACTCCTCCTCGTCCTTACGCTTCACCGCCTTGTCTTCCTCCTCCGACTCCGACTCCGACTCCGACGATGACGACGACGACGACGACTTCTCCGTTTCCGACCTTCCTGCACCTGCCTCTGCGTCGCCTCCTCCACCGTTTCCACCTTCCCCATGCACCCTCGCGTTCCCATGATGCTGGGCGGCAACTGCACCTTGGGGCGCCTTCTGTCCTTCCGCGACGTCGTCATCTATGGCATTGTCGGCGGGTCCGGCGGCTTGAGAAGTCGGCGTCGCGGTGCGTTTTACGGCAATGACCTTGCCGACGTACTCAACCATGCTGTCGCGCAAAGCCTTCAGCCCCTTCATCCCGATGCTCTCGATGCTCACCCCACGACGACCCTTCTCGCCTGTCAGATGGTCGATCTGTTTTGCTACCCACCCGAACGACGTCGCAGAAAGCACGCCGGCACCGACATGCCCGTCCAACACTGTGCCCGGCACTTTCTGCATACAAGCTCGGAACATGATGAGCGGAGCGTTCAGAAACGGGCACCCCCCCCTTGCGACTTGAACGTGCAACTCACATCGCGGATAGGGTGGTCGCAGTCGGCCAGCCTGACCTCCACCACTGCTTGTGATGGCGGCGCCCAGTCCCACATCCTACCGGGACGCCCCAGCTCGGCCAGGACAGCCGTGCGGAAGAACCTGAAGCACCGCGGTGGGGGGAGGCGGTCAGCGTGTGATACCCTGTGTCGCCGACTAACAAGCGGGTCATCGACGACAATTCAGCACTTACTTTAGCACGCGGGCGGCCTCGTCGCGGTGATACCCTTAACCGGTCTGCGGGTCGATGTGCCGGATTGAGGTCCTGCACACCTGTCCCTCAGCCTTCAACAGATCTCCAGGGTATAGGATGGCAATGACGCTGCAGTGCGTTCCTGGAAGCGCACCGAGGCTG